CCTTGTGTTTCGCGGGGCTGAGAGTGTGTTCTAGCAGTGCTAGGAGACATGCTTATTGTCTTTGGGAGGTGTGGCATCATGATTGAAGATGGTTTACCAGCAGGGCAGCACATAACACCCCAGCATGCTAAAGTAACTTGGACACTTACTTGGCTCATTCATTTCTACACACAGGCATATTTTAATATAATTCCTGGTATAGTAGACATACTCTTCCATTTTTTTTTTTCAATTCATACTGCCATAAGCTTTTGATGTCATAGTATTAAATTTTAAAAAATAGCTGCATATGAAATCCTGGTATTGGTCTTCCATAACCTATCTCACTCTTTGGATTTTCAGGTAAGACTGGAAAACATCTTGATGCATTGATTGTATTTTTTTCTTTCCTTCTATTACTGATGGAAGTACTTCCTCGGAAGAGGAATGGCTGAGTCAGAAAAGGCATCTGGTATCTAGACTTTAGGTCCTTAGCTGCCACATTCCTGTACTTAAGCGTGTACTATGTAGTTTGTATACAGATTAAGAAGTTCAGTGGTCGCTTATTCCATAGAAGAACTGACTTATTGATGATGAGATAATCAGGTCAGCTGAGTGAATGTTGAGTATCAGCTGTGTCTGTGCTGGGTCGTCGCTCTTGCACATGGAACACTGTATTGGGAGACTTTGGCTAGTTCCACGTGGGGTCTCTGCTTGGAATCTGCTTGGTGCCTTGGTGCCATCTGACTTGGGTGTGGCCCATTTCTTCTTGGCAGGGGTCGGGATTAGAGGAAACTGGAAAAGAGGAGTGATCTTAGCTGGGTGTGAGGGAAGGCCTACTGGTTAGAGAACCCTGGTGTGGGCGTCAGTGTTACTGCTCTTGTGCAGGTCTGGGGGACCCCCTTAGATGGTCAGCGTGGCCTCTGGTCTCTTGTGTCTGGGGAGAGCAGCGGCTCTCTGTGTTGTCCTCCCCAGTTTGTGATGGGAGAGGGGAACGGGCATGACTGTCATCTCCTCTGTTCCCAGAACAGACCCAGGAAAGCATTCAGCGTTTTGAGCAGCAGGCAGGACTGAGAGATGCCGGCTACACACCCCACAAGGGCTTAACCACCGAGGAGACCAAGTACCTTCGAGGGGCCGAAGCGCTCCACGTAAGCATATTTCTGAGCAACCTTCAGAACGCGAAACCTTCAGTGTCAGTGACTTGAAAGGTGGCTGTAAGCCAGGCTCGCGGTGGCGCAGCCTGTCATCCCAGCACTTTGGTAGGCTGAGGCGAGTGGATTGCCTGAGCCCGTGGGTTCGAGACCCGCCTGGGCGACTTGGTGAGATCTCATCTCTACAATAAATAAAAAATTAGCCAGGCATGGTAGCACGCGCCTGTAGTTCCAGCTACTCAGAAGGCTGAGGCGGAAGGATCGCCGGAGCCCAGCAGGTCGAGGCTGCGGTGGCTGGGAGCGGCCACTGCACTCCAGTCTGGGCGACAGAGTGAGACTCCAACTCAAAAAAAAAAAAGGTGGCTGTGGTCTGGAAGTTGCCAGCCCAGCTGGTGGGGTTGTGGAGAGCTGGGCACAGGAGTATTATCAACCTATTACAGTACAGTATAGCCAGTTGTGTTAGTTGGGTAACTAGGCTAAAAGATGGACTCGGGAACAAACTGGACTTACGCAGGCTCTTAGAATGGAACTCGTTCGTATGTCGGGGACTCACTGCCTGTGGAAGGAGGACTCACACAGGTCTGTTGGCCTGTGGGCAGGGATCTAAGCTGTCGTGGACGGTTGCGTTTTGTAACAAGCACTCCAGATGCCTCTTTTGCAGGCTAAGTTTAAAAGTCATTGCTGTGGGGGATCAGGGTTGAGCTAGTGGCCAGCTTAAGCTCAGGCAGGACCGATGCTTCCAGAGAGGGGCACGGTCAGCCTTTGACGCTTAATTAGCACAGGACCTTCCAGGACAGGTCAGGAGAGTCTGTGTGAGCCTTCCCCTTGTACGGTGGTGGAGTGGACTTGGGCCTGCTTGCTGCCCTCGTCACAGGAGAATCCGAGGAGCTGAGGTGTGCTGGCTGTGAGCGGCCTCATCGTGTCACTGGTGGATGGTCAGCCCACCAGAGGACCAACGGCATGGTCCTTTGGATATGACTCGGGCTGAGCTGTGGGACGTTCCGCCTGAGGGTGGGGCCATGTGGGCGCCTTGCTCTGGGGGAGCCAGGAGGCAGGGTGCCTCCCCTTCTCTCATCTGCTGGAGGTGTGTTTCAGTGCTGAGGGAACTCATGGGGGCTGCTGCGGGGGAGAAGAGACTGTAGTGGGCGCATCAGGAAGCCCCCGGCTGAGGGGAGTAGCCGTCCGAGTCTAGTCTTGCTTAGAGGCGGGACGGCAGGGCTTGTGCTGGTGGAGGGGGCGTGAGAAAAGAGCTCCAGGCCTTGCTAGGTGGCCAAGACGGCTGCAGCTTGAGTTCTGACGCTCCCACTTCGCTGGCTTGGGGCCTGTGGGGAACCCAGTTCACTTTTCCGAAAGTAAAAGCTCTTTTCGTACCGAGATGTTTGAGATATGTTGTAGAATGAATACGTTTTTTTAAAAATATGGAATTCTGGCCGGGCTCGGTGGCTCAGCCTGTAATCCCGCGCCTTGGGAGGCTGAGGTGAGTG